TCAAATATAAAGAATAGATGATTTAAAATAATTTTCTTCTTTTTTCTCGTTTTTTTTTAGAAAGTTTTTTCATAAAATTTAATAACACGCATATGAAGAATATTTATACGTAAAATATTCTTATTTTATATTTTTAAAAATGGAAATTCTATTTGTATTTGAATAAGTTCATAAATGCATATTTAAAAATATGTGTTTATAAATCTTTCTAAAGAAAATAGAAATGAGAAGGAAGAAAAATTGAAAATTAAATTACAGTATTATTAATTACAATATTAAATATAGATAAACATTCCTTTTGCATTCTTCGTGGATATATCTATTATACGATTATTATTTTTATTCTAGATTTTCAAAAATCTAAAAAAATATTAAAGTTTGAATTTCTATTTTAATATACGATCGTTCATTTCATTAAACGTTTAAAAAATTCCATTTTATCTATTTTTGAAAAGAGATTTTCATTCTTATAAAAAAATATTCAAAATATAGTATGCGAGCTGCAAAATTTATAATTTCACTATAAATGAATATATAGTATAAGATATAATAAATAAAGTATAAATTTACCATTGTATCAACGTAAGTACAAAAGTACAAAAGTACAAAAATAAGTATAATAATTTCCATTTTAGATATGATTTCAAAAAAAATAAGATTTGAATGTTCTTAAAGTAAATCAAACGAGAACTGAATGCATCGAATTAAACAACGTGTTTTTATACTATAATGTTATAATACAATATCTATATTGTATTGATCTTATTTGATGGAAATAAATAGAATTTTTTTTTTTTTATAAATAAAAATTCACTTTTCAAGAATCAGAATACATGTCAGATCAGATAATATATCAATTATATAACAATATATCTAATGAATAAAAAAGAATGTTCATTAAAATCTGTAAAAAATATTCAAATAATTTGTTTTTTTTTCTGAATGCAAACAATGAAATAATAAATTGAATAGATTGTTTGCTTTTCTTTTTCTTTCTCATTCTTTTTTTTTTAAATTAATTTTATATAAATAACCCTTAAATGCATTTAAATTTTGTTATTTTTTATGAAATATTAAATATTATGAATAATTATTTATAAAAGTTTGTGATAAGAATATAATAAATTATATATACACAACAATTTTCTTTTTCATCTATTTTTTTTTTTTTCTTTTTCAAATATGATTTTAAGAAATGGGTAAGTAATCAATTGAAAATCGAAATTTAAGAAGGAAATATTAAAATTTTAACTTCGAATATTTTTAATATTAAATATAATAAATTTTTATAAAATGCCCAATAATTTATATATTTAATAATATATTATTAATAAATCTTAATATGCTTAAATTTTAACAATTATCTTTTCTTTGTAAAATTGTTAACATTTCTTGCGAATAAAGAGAAAAATAATGCATAACAAAAATTATGTAATAAAATTACTGAAGTATAAATTATATATTTTGTATATTGATTTATCAAAATATAACATATTTTGTTAATAAAATAATAATTTTGGATTTTAGATTTTTTGGATTAATAAAATAATAATTTTGGATTGGTATACATATCTAAACCTTTTAATCTTCAATTTTTCTGATGTAAATTTAAATTAGGTTAAAGATATACTTTGTAACTTCTAAAGTTAAATATTTGATGTCATTAACTTCTTCTTTATGTTACATTTACAAATAGAAGAAATGTAATAATATCTATCCAAAACGAATTTGATAATTTTGTAGATCTGAAGGATTGGAATTAAGATTATTAATCAATAAGTAAATCTATAAGTAGATTTTAAATTGGTTTGTATTATTCCTTGCCATTATATATAAAAAAAAATAGTTGAATGGCGATAGTATGCCATTATCTTAATAAATTTATACTTTTATTTGTTATTGTACATATAAAAGTAACAATCATTTTATTTATTTAAATATCTTGAAGACTAGAATTAAGAAAGAATTATATGTATAGAAAAAAGTTGAATTCCATCTTAATCATTGACAACGAATGAAAGATTTTAAGGATTGAGAAATTATACTATAAGCATACAATGATTGTATTCAGGATTGTTTCTACAAATTTATAACTTTCGAAATATTAAAATTATTGGTACTATTATTATTATTGAATTTTGCTTATATATATCCAAATGTACGCTTATCTATTGTTTTTTACACATTGTGATCAATTTAAAATATTGTTACTATTTATTCATTTTCTTTCGGATTTCTTATCTTTATCCAAGTTTATTATGGATAAATATTAAATGTTCAATTTATACATTTGCTAATCGTGATATATTTGTCATAACATTTCATGACTTCGTAAACTATGATTCATGGAATAAATATTACAATATAAATCATTTTATATCGCATCAATTTCCTTTTATTTATAATATAAAAATTTATACAATAATCGCTAATGATACCAAATGAAACCTTTCTTTTTTTAATAAGTATTTAATATATCGTAGTTTAATTAATTAATTTATAATAAATGAATTAATCAATTTTATAATTTTTTAAACATTTATTTTTAAGAAAAATATTAAATTATAAATAAAAATATTATTACTATAAATTCACTCAATGTATTATATCAAAAATTTTTACTTTATCTTTTCTTTATTAATTTTTAATCTAATTCAATTTAAGAAAAGTGATCTATTTTTTGTATTGATGAAATTATCTTATTTTTTTTTTCTATATTTAAATATTCAAACATTAATTTTTTAATATATCATATGAGAACTTATTTTTCAAAATCATATTCGGAATTTTAATCAATGTAAAAATTTTATCATATAAATACTTTGAGAACATTTTCAATTAGCATAACTTGTTTTAAAATCAAAATTTTTTATCAAAGTAATTTAAATTTAAATCACTTTTGCAATTATTTAGATTGTTGTTTATATATTCTGTATAATAAATTTCAAAATAGCTGGTATCAATAACTATAATTTATTTTATATATTTATATACTTATATATAAAACAAAAAATATAAATAGCATTTTTCGAATCATTTTTTATTCAAAATGTATTTTTATTGTTATTAAACAAAATTTTAAAAATTTAAAAATAAAAAATATGAAGAATAATTATTTCAATTTTTATATTGAAATCTTTGGTTAAAATTCACGTTGAAATACTTCTTCTTTGATAAAATGAAAAGGAGATAGGAATATGAAAATAAAGAGATCGTAGCAGAATTAGAAATGTTATCAAACCAACGGTATGAATAAATAGACTGAATCATTCTGAACAAGATAATACACAATGAAAACAATCGAACTGAACGCTTTATGATTTTATAAAACAACTCAAGTAAATTCTTGTCGGAATATAAAAATAAAGAGATCGTAATAGAATTAGAAATGTTATCAAACCACTAGTATGAATAATAAATTAAATCATTCTGAACAAGATAACACATAATGAAAATTATCGAACGCTTTATGATTTTCTAAAGCAAATTCTTATCGGAAAGCCATATTTATTATATAACAACTAATATATATATATATATATATATATAAGAGATATATAATAAACAACTATATATAATCGAATATTTCTTATCAATAAGCGGAATTAAATCTGTGACAAAGTTTAAATAAAACAATTAAAAAAAAAATTATTTTTTTTTTCTTATTTTAGAATCTTATTTTATGCAAGTTTATAATAAAATGGTAAAATAAGCTTGAGATAATTCTTCAAGGGTCAAGTACTGCACAAGCAGAACGATAAATGTAATGATATATAATGTGTATAAATATATAAATGTAATGACATATGATGTATAATATAAACATAATAATATAATTCTTGGAAACGAGTCGAAAATGATTGAAATTTATTTTACTATACTTCTTTACTATATTCGAATTATTAATTAATTATATCCATACAATTATAAATTAATATAACTTCGTTATCAAAAAAATTTTTAAATGTAATAATAGTAAAAGTAAATTTTTTTATGGAAAATAAAATAATTACAAAAAATAATAATCATGATTCGTATTTATGAAAAATAAAAAATGATATTATTCAACGATAGAAATATCAATCACTTAATATTTTAATATTTGGAAATATACAGATTTTTAATTGAAATATAATTTTATTCCTAATTTGAAGATTATACAATTTCTATATTTTTTATAAAATTACAATATCATTATGTTTGAATAAAAATTAAAGAAATAATGAATAATTAATCCACAATAATTAATTCAAACATATTTCAAATAAGTAATAAATATAACTATAACATGTTGCATTAACAGTCCATTTCTGAATTAGATAATAGAATCTAAAAGCAAAATTGAAATAAGAATCTATAAAAAAATTTTAATAATTCGAAAATTTAAAAAATAATAAAAAAATTTTTTTATTAAAAAAATTGTAACAATAAAATTATAACCATTATTCTCGAAAAATAATATTATTTTTATTTTTGCATCAAATGAATAAATTAAAATATAAAAAAAAATAACTAAAGAGACAAATAAGAAAATAATAAGACAAACAAATATATAAATAAATACATAGAATATTTAAAATTTATTTTTTTTTTTTTATAATAAGAAAAAAAAAAGAAAGAAAAATATATATAACAGAGATTAAATTATAAGAAAAATTTTATTTAATGACACAAAAAAGATTATTATGCCTTCTTTTTGTTAATTTTTTAAAAATTGAATATTAAATCAAAGTTGAAAATCTTTATTTTAATTATTATTATTATTATTTAATTAAATACATTACGATTAATATTATATAATATAATTATTTTACAATTAATAAATATATCTAAATATTATAAATTAACATTGTAATATTTGCTTATTTATAATATCAAGAAATTTAATATTTTAAAACATTATTGATAATATTTTCTATTAGTTTTATCTATAATTAAATAAATTATTCGATTAAAAAAAATGAAAATGTATTTCTTGAATGATAAAAAAACAGTGCTGCCGCCAGTATCGAAGCATTCAACTATTCAATGCGTTACAACGACTCATACATGCACTAATACATTAAAAAATAGCATAGTCGTGCGGAATATTAAATTAGTTGTGTGTAGCATGAAAATACAACTGCCACATTGCCTTATAAAATATGGCAGATAAAGGTAAAGATAAATTATTTCAACTCATAACTATTTCTTTTTTACACTATATATAAATCTTATTATTATTAAGGTTTGTATTTTCTATATTTTATAATATAAATGAATATTACAAAAACATGAAAAACTCACTTGATAAATTAATCTTTTAAATAAATAATATATCATTAAAAATTGAAATTTTATTAAAAAATCATATACTTTAACAATTTTTACAAAGCCGGTCGGTACTTGACATAGGTTAGAATAAGCTCATAATCAGGTCATTTGAAAGCGCGCCACTTCGAAAGTACAATATATTTGCTATTCAAAAAACTTTATAATTTTATTATTATTTTTTTTTTTTAAGGTTTTTATATTAATAATAATAATCTGTACAATTATCAAGATTGATTCATTTTTAGTACATAACCTTTTAAGATTTGCTATATCTATATGATGAATCATCATATACCCAATCTTTAATTTTTAAAATTGAAAAAATTTATCTTTTTTTAACTGTCATAAAGTAATAAATATTATGCATTACTGAAAAAAAAGTAACATATCTTTACACATTTTCTTAATAATTATTTCATAATTATATTCACTGATAATCTTACATATTTTTTTTTTTTTTATTTCGAAATTATATGTTATTAATACTATTTAATTCGTTTTTTTCTCTTATATATATAGTTTTATTACATATTGTTTGGTAATATTGTTTTGTTTGTATTGATCCTATAAACAATTGTGTTTTTATCAATCATTTCAATTTTGCATATCGATTTAATAACATTAAATATTATGAATATATAATTATAACAAATACATATTTTAAATACATATTTTAAATTTTAAATCGAATTTAGTTTCGCAATAATAGATTAAATATTACATAAATAATCATAAAATATGTTATCGCATTCTTTTTATAATTTTCATTATAAATAAATTAATTATCTTTCAATTTATGCTCCCGCTTAAACATAGTTAATGCTTTCTTGTACGAGAGGGCGTCTAACTTACTATACCATGTATAATTAATATACTTATATAATAGTAATTAATACACTATATAATATATTTATAAAGAAAGGGATAATATAAATATTCATTCTAGCACAGTAATAAAAATGAATGTTAACATTTCATTAGAATAATGATAGAATAAGAAGCAGATTTTAAAATTGTTTAACTTTGAAGAAATAACATAATGATTTATATCAATATAAATTTATACACGAATGAATTTAAATGATGATATGTGTATTGTTTTTTTTTTTTTTTATTTACTTAAATTTGGATTTAGAGCATCACGTGCACTTTAGCGGAGCAAGTGGCCCCGGAAAAGACAACAAAATTGTGATACAACCGCAACGACATGGACAAATAGATGTTCATCTTGGATTCTTACAACTTCATCATAGGTTGCATTTTTTTTTTGTACACATATTAGGAAACTAAATATATGTAAAATTAATAAACATTCTCATAACTTCAATTTATCTAAATTTATAATATTTTTACATAATTTTTTAGATATCATATTGAATTCTCCATTCCTTGGGATCTATGCATTCATAACGAAAGAAATAGTAATGAACCTGCGATAATCACGGAATATCATAATCCCTATTGTCATATTATAGAGTTAACACATGAAAAGGAAAGCTTAAAGTAAATCATTTGTTATTTTATAAATTTATTTATAAACATTATTATTAAATTTTGTTTGTATAAAAATTATCATTTTTATTATAATGTAATTGTAATTTGTAATTGTAATTTAATTTAATTTTTTATATTATTTTATATTGTAATTTCCATTATAATAAGATCTTGTTTCTGCAACAGGTTAAAAATAGAATTTTTAGCATATAAGGAAAAAATCTTAAAAGAAGAAGTTCAAATAATATGCTGCAAAGCTGGAATTCCATTAATAATCCAACTGAACGCACGCGTATTGGGAAAAGACAAAGGGACGCCATTACTAAGGACTGGAATACACAATATCGGTCTATTGAAACAACCAAAAGAAGATGAGGTCTCCGAGTAGATCTCATTAATACTGACTTGTTACTCGAACATCTAAGAGTCGAGTACATATTTCTTTCACAGGTGCTGGGTACAAAATTGAAGGCATCTTTAAGTATGCGAAACCAAGAAGATCTTTGAACAAAACACTGAGATTGAGATATACAAAGAAATGCATCTAATAGAGGACGTATAATAAGAGGGAAAACTGATGCATGAGAACGTTACTTATTTCGAACTTTAATCGTGCAAAACGTAAGTTAGCATTACAATGAAATTCATCGTTGCGGTCAATTATTAATGATGTTTTAATCTTAAGAGAAGTACGTACACGTACGTTTAATTTCAAGTATAGCGAATGTTTTATCTATCGAGATTAATTTAATTATAATCTATTTCTGCACGATGTAACTTTCGAAATATGCGATGTTCTTAGAAAAAAAAAAAAGAGCTTCTCTTTGAATTTATTGCAATTGATCTAATTGCACAGGCCTATATCACAATCGCAAGACTTCTTTTTTCTCTTGAATCGAGATTATTATAACAATTTCGACGCAAGAAATGAAGTGTTCCTTTAATCAGCCATTTTTTAAAGGATCACATCGAAATATGTATAATTACGAGTTACAGCTAAATACCGCATTTGCCTACTGTTCCTTCTTAAACGAAAACGTATCACGCAATGCCTATACATTATATATATATATATATTAATATATATATATATATAAATCTATTATATCTTTTAATATTTATCATCGATCTATTCGTTGTAATGATAAAATTGTATTTTATTATCGTTTTACATCGAGCAAAGATTTTAAACGATAAGAATATATTACTAATCAAAAGCAAGTTTCACAAATAACGATGCTGTTTTCTAATTCCTTGCTAAGCTAATATTAGAATTATTAAAATGAACGAATTCAATGAATGTGTTTTACTAACAATCATTTCATATTTAAACCCTGTTATTTCATTATTATTTATTTTACAGATTGAAGTCGTCGTTTATTCAAGATTAATTTATTGTTCCAGATCAAGATATTCCGAATATTTAGAAAAAATTCTTATATATATATGTCTCAAAATAATTAAAGTTTTTAATAATATAAAAAATAATTTACAGTAATCAATTAATTTTGAATAGACTATAACTTCTTCACTTCGCTCTATATTTATAATCATATGCATTCTACTAATTATAAATTTCTTTTTAATTATTAAAACTATACAATTTTTTTGTGTTTGATGAAATATATTTCGACATATTCGCTACTACGTATTACATCATATTATTTTAAAAATTCATTATCATCATTAATTTTATTTTGTAAATATAATAACATGCATAATATCAACTTCAACAAATACATATATTTATAATTTTTATACAGAATAGCAGCGAACATGTTAAAAAATTATTAAAGAAATATCGTTAGCATCGAAAACTTGATTGTTTCATAGGAATGCCAGTAGGACCATCAACGAATTCGCAAATGTTGAAACCAAATCTGGCTAAAGGATGACAATTACTTTTAGGATTACCCCACTTGCCTCTAAAAGTCATCCAGCTGGGTAAGATAGTGTTCTCTTCTTTCAAAAGCAATTCCATTTTTTTCCATGTAGGCCAAGCGATTCCAAAACCACTTTCGTCATAAAGACGAGGTAATCTAACGAATTTGTGTTTCCCTGGCGCAGTCCAAAGTCCATGCGATCCTCGCGCGCTAAATAATATGGGATGAGAGCCGTCGGCAGTGAAAACTTTTTCAGGAAATATAGGTTTTTGAAATATTCCTTTCCGCGTCTCTTGGCTCTCATAAACAAATGTACCGCTTCGTAAATCATATCGATAGAACGCGCCTGCGTCATGCGCGGACACATACATAGTTGATGGATGATTTGTATCCTAAATTTAAAAGATAAATGATTGATTTTATACGAAGAAGTATAGAATAAAAAAAATATATGAAATAAGTACAATAATAATCTAGAAAAAACTCCAATTTGAAATGTTCAAATGATATTTTTATAAATGAATATAGAATTGAATTATAAAGTAATTATAAAATAATAATGAAAAAATGTAAAAATAATAATAATAGATAATTAATAATTATCTTTTCTTTTTACTTTTAGGTTTATGTTGTTCAATAATGTAAAGAAATATTTCAAAATATTTTTTAAAATGAAAAATATTTCATTTTTTATATCGAATGAGTATTCATCTACCTTGAAATAAAGACTCATGTGTTCCCAATCGCCCACGTGGTTACCATATTCTTTAAAAATTCCAAGGCATATCCCGCCCACGGTGGGTATCGGCCAGCTACCAAAAAATCCAAGATCCAGAACACAGACCGCCTTTCCCTCGCTGAACGGATAGAACATCCAATAGGTCACGTGAAAGTGCAGCTTCTGGGACCTGTTTCCTTTTTTCTTTTTTTTTTCAAAATCACCATGTTTCTGTAAGTATTTAACCAATCAATAAAATAATTTCTGAAAATTCTATAATATTTTCAAAGTATTTTAGGAAATCTTAATTATCATTTTAATAATTGCTATTTAAAGAGAAAAAACTTTTTTTTTTATGTCTTTTTTTTTAATATTAAAATCTTCACTTTAATAAAAGTGTTTCTACATAATTTTTCTATAAAATTTTTATTTAATATACCTCTAGACTTTGTTTAACATCAGTCTTCCAAATCTTTTGTGTAAGATCGTTGGTAAAGATCATAGTCGAGCCAAAATCGTCGATCTGCAGCATATTTTTCGATGATATCAATGTTTCGTCCCTCTTTTTTGGAAAATTTCTTTCATTTCTGATCTTTATCACATCTGTAGAAATATCTGGAATAGCACAATTCTTGATCACAGCATAAATCGGTACCGTGCCTGTTGGTTTTCGGCCATATAGAAAAGACGATCGATTTCTCAATAATATTTCTGTCAATGTAAAAATTGTTTCATTAATTTAATTGTTTTTCATGTATTTCGTAAAAAAATTAGATCAAAGTAGATAATTTTTAAATTTCTTTAAAAATAATTGTCATCTATTTCGTTATTTATTTACCTACGTCAATTTTGGTATGAAGATAATCATCGTCGGATTGCATATTGTCAAGAAATTCTGGTACCCCAAGGGGTAAAAAGAGTTCGCCAGGTGCGAGCCATACTAGAGGCGCCCAATCTCGTACTAATCCTTTTACTGTAATATAATTAAATAAAGATACAGCATCATAATGAAAATAAGAGAAACATTTTATCTAAACTAAATACAAACATTAAATATAAATTAAATTTTAAATTAATATTTATTTCTTTTACCTTAATTCTATTATCGTTAAAATTACAAACTTATTAATATTTATCTTGAAAAGCAAATTTATTATTATGATATTCGAAAACATTTATAAATTATTATAATATTGAAATTTCAATATTATATTATATATATTATATTATATATATTATATATATATATATTAAAACAATTTTTAATTTAATATTAATACTTTTATAATTAACATAAAATACGAGTAACAAAATTATAATTTGAATTCTTAAATTAAAATTTAAGAAGATAAAAATTAATTATTAAATAAATATACTATATTTTTATAATAATAATAATTTTCTCATGGAAAAATTAAATCTGAACATGAATTATTGAAAGTAAAAGATAAATTATCATTTTATAAAACCATTTAAAATATGCAATTTAATAGAAGATATACGCAAAGCATAATATTGTGCGTCGGTGATGATCACTGATCTTAATGACCTTACAGATAATAACATAATATTATTAGAAAGCCAGTTTCTTCGAGCTGCTAGTTTCAGTATGTGCTACATATATTTAGGTAAAAAAAACGAAAGGCCTAGAGGGATCTTGCTTTCATTTCATTTTAAGTGAACAAGATTATCTGTTGTACAAATATATGCATCTTCGTCTTATATGCGACACATTTGAACCTCCCACATTTGAACCTTCAATAGTTATCATCATTCAAAATAACGCGCAAACCACTAAAGAGCTCAAAACATTTTGTCAGATACGATGGAATACATAACTTCACACAAATGTTTAATAAAAAAAATTTAATATATTTTTCTTCTCAATTTATTTATTTTTTTCAAATTAAAAATAAAATTTTATAATAATGAAATTATCAAATTTTCAATTTCTATTAAAAAAAATTTTTATTAAGTTTAAATAATAAATAACACAAAGAATTTTTTATTTTGTCATTATTAAAAAATTTTTCACATTTGCTATTCATGAGTCAATTTTTCAGTGTCCTTATATTAAAATATTAATATGTAGAATCAACATATGGCGATACCATATTTGGTATTATGACATGTTTTCCATTCTACTTCCGCAATTAAAGAAGGCGCCGTGAAACAAGTTCCTATTTATTTCTACTTTAAAACATCATTATCATCGAGATAATTAACCCATTATTTAAATCGATTCAAGATAATTAATTTAGATTAATACTTTATTTCGGATAACAATCAGTTTTAATATTAAATTTTTTCACCATGAAAATCATTAAGGTTACGAAATCTTTCAATAATTTATTATGATATATGAGATAATAATAATTTATATTTCCTTAATTATCATTAATATCCTTTCTTAATAAATTTTATTTAATATAGTAGAATAAATGTATATTTAATATTGTAGAAAAAAAATAAAATTATGTAAGATAAGATCTTCTAATCGTATACAATACATTTATCATAAAATATTACCATAGATTATATATATCTTTAAATCTTAATATAGATTTGCACGTTGTATAGTAAAGAAGTGTATGCAACTTCTCTATAGAAGCCTTTTTTTAAAAAGAGCAATTTGATGCTAGTTGATCAAAATGAAATTTATTTAATTATCATCTATTAATTATCATACATATATAATACAGACAAAAATGGAATTCGACAATCATAAAACCTAAAAAAATGCTCGACAATCGATTTTCAATCTCGTAATCATTCACAATTGTAAATCTCTTTTTTGAAAATAGATTGATCTACTTCAAAAAAGTACGATCATTATGCCATGTGTTAATATATTCACGCTAATCATGTTAATTTAAATGATTATCGAGTAAAATAATTTCACCGTTAGTCCAACAATCCTTATATATAACTGATTATCATAGAAATTTTGTCTTAATTTTTAACATGCTTTAACGCAATTTTATTATTAATAAATTTCTTGTTTCATTTATATATTAAATTATATTAATTCTTGTTTCATTATATATTAAATTATAAATTATCATATAAAATATATTTAAGTATTAAATTATAAAATATATAAATTAAAATTCGATTATATTATTAAAGTGATTCATAAATTGATCGAAATATTTTACAATTATATTTATATTTTAATATTGAAATTGCTATAATATACATTGTATTATACATGTGATTGAATTGAATGCATAATAAAATAAGAAATATTTATTATTTATAAGAATATTTTGCATGATAATTATCGTAATTTAATTAATGATAATATATTTTCAAAATGAAAATTTTTTCTAACTTTTCGTTTCTTAAATTATAACAAATAAAAAAATCGAGTCTATTATGTAAAGCAATTTAGATACTTTTAATAATAAAGACAAAAACAAATCGAAAAAAAATTAAATAATTTCAATAACATAAAACATAAAAATTTAATTTCTTTTCTTTTTTCATAAAAATTAAATAAAATATGATATATATATAATGTATTTATAATATATTTTTTAATTTACTAAATTAAAAGAAATTTATTATAATTTATTACAGAATAACATATAAAATATAATTTCATCATATTCATCAATCATTTTCATAATTTTTTTTTAAATAATAAATAACAAAATGAAAAAATCATCAAAAGTAATTGTTTGAATTTCGAATTCTTACCTCGTCCTTCATCGGTTGTTTTCGAAGTCACAATCATGTGCATGATACACAGAATCAACAGCAAATATTGCATCGTATTTAATTTGCTCACGCATTTTGATAATCGAGTGCCGGAAAAGCCGCAAAATTCGAAACTTTTTAAGTGATGGACATCATCAATGCATTTTTTCGCGCCACCTTTACTTCTCCGTGTCTTGTTGCTGTGGACCACCGTCACAGAGAATTCTTAAGGTTAACAATCGACAACACCGATCGTCCTGCTACCAGCTATGTTTCTCAGGTAACTGACCGGTTCCCTACATTCCCTGGGCCGCTCACTGGACAAATATTACCGTTGCTCACAACCATCGTGCACGCTATTACGAGGATGCCAAAAGAAACTGTAAACGTAATAAGTTAACCCTTCTATCGAATTGAAAGTTTAAATTATAACCACACGTTTTTCATTTTAAACGCATTACATATCTTGTGCACATATACATATGTATAGTTATATATATAAATACAAACGAATTTATATAAATTACACATAAGATACAATTATATCATACTAAAAAAACATTATTTATTTTATCGAGATTTTTATATATTTCTTATTGTAAGATTTTTATAGGAATAATTTCAATATTTTGTTAATTAATTAGTATAAAATCATTATATTAAAAAATTTTTATTTATGAAATATTATTTAATAAATTTTAGTATTAAACAGATTACTTTTATTTTCAATATACGAGAATTTATTGAAATTATGATATTAAAAGAAAGGATTATTAATGAGATAATTTTTTGAACCATTGACATGAAATAAAAATTCAGAGAATAGAAAGTAAAAATAATTACGGTCGCGATTGCGAAAGGGATACAAATCGAGTGAACCGGAAACCACAGAGACCATTTATGATTAGTGAAAAGAAAAGTGTTCTACACGTAGCATAATCATAAGAATTAAATTCATAAATGCTATATTTCTATATTTTAATTTTTTCGATTCCTTTTTTTTTTATTTTTTTTATATCAAAGTAATAATTTAATAATAAACATCAAAAGAAAGTTTCATAAATATCATATGAAGTTAATATATCCTATCAAAATTATAATGCTATTTTCACTTTTATAAAACATAAAAATATTATTAAAGACAATCATTATGTATACAAAAATATTTGCATATTAATGGAAATATTAAGGTAGAAAGAAGTTAATATTTTAAAATACTTGTTTATTATTTAGGAATTATATTTATTTTATTCATTTTTCACACAGAAATATATTCTACATTTTATATCTATGTACATTTTTTTTATAACACACTTTATAAACTATTAATTTGTAAGTTATATTAAGTTAAAATGATTTATATATTCAAATATCACACTTCTCAAAATTTCTATTATTTAATTTGATAATCTTATATATCAAGTTAACTGATTAAATATCGACAAATTTCGTTAATATGAATAAAATATTACGCGTGAAAAATATTACTATAATTTATAAATATAATATTTAATAATTTATAAACTGTTATAATATTTAGCAATAAGAACTTATTGTTGTGATTTTTATTACAAATACATTTTAATATTAAATATATTTTTATAAAAATAAAATAATAATTATCTATAATTTTCAATCTATATAATTTTTTAAAAAAACTTAATATAATCAATTGCAATATAATATAAATATGTATATCATTATTTTTCAAATTTTATAACAAAAATAAATAATGTAAATTGAATTGATTTTAATTATTTCAATTAATTAAAATATTAAAAATAATTTCAATTACTTATATTATATATAATATTGTTTATGTAATGTAAAAAATGATAAATTATAAAATTATTTAGATAATATAACTAGATGTCAAGAATATCAAATAAAGCAATTGTTAAATTAATAAAAACTTCTTCATATAATATATATAGTTATATTATAATTAATCAATATACTAAAATATTATTAGAAAGCAATATTTTATCAGAATTTATGATAAATAATAATATGATTCTTATTCTTTTGTTCATTTTTTATATAATAGAAAAAAGTAACAATATATGTTTACAGGGCTATAATGTTATATTTTAATAGATAGAATAATAGAAATATTTAATAAAAATATAGAGTAAAAATCCTATATTTAAATATATATAATTTTATGAACACTGTCTTATATAAATTAGTTACAAAGATATAAGAAAGATTCATTTATGAAATGTTCATATTTTAAGTGAAAATTAAGATTAAATCATAAATTTTATATTTAATTTCATTTTTTTTTTATTCATTTTTTTTTATTTAAGTTAAGTTTCAAAGAAAAGTTTTTTTTAACTTTGTTAAGTTTCAAACAATAATTTTAAACTGTATTGTACATTATATTTCTATTGTTCTTTATATATTTATTTTATATTTTAAAAATGTATGTATGTAATTATAATTATATTAACTGTTATATTAACTATTATTATATTAACTGTATGTGAATAAATTACAGCACCAGACATAACGTATATAACCCTGTATATATACAACATTGAAAAAACAGGGCAAAAAACTTTACTGTCATTCTTTTGTTATCAATACAAAGAAGTAACAAAACTTTCATCTCGCATATGTTTTTATAGAAAATAATATTTTTTTTCATTTCAACTTTTTTTCATTTCAATTATTCTACTTTTCCAATAGAATTTTTTTTTGTCTTAATTATACAAGACAATTATACAACTATCTATTAAAAATTTATTTGTAGTTTTGAAAATTTGATGTTTAACAAATACATCTTAATTTCAACAAAGTACAAAAAATATTGTATTAATCAATAAATTTTTGTTTTATATTAAATTTGACAGTCTTATGTAAATCTATCTAATTTGAGCAAATGGAGATCTGCAGAGTGGACACAATGCTTGAGACTGTAAGATAACATCAATTATACTTTAAATTTGGATTATGTTTTTGAGAAAATTAAAAAAGCTATAATCATTAAATCTATTTATAATAATATTATCTCATTTATGTTACTTACCTCAGCTTCATGTCCCCATTTTTCAATACATCTTTTATGAAATTTATGTCTACAAGGTTGTAAAATATAATTAATTTTATATGCCAGTGGAAGTAAACATATTGGACATTCATCGGAATCTCTTGACATACTGGATTGTCTATTATTATAGAAAAAAAGATATTTTTTATTCAATTAGATAGAATTGATTTATATAATTATATTTTATATATATTTATTATATTATATATTTATAAGAATACTCACTCTGGATAAGACTCATAACCATGTTCATAATATTGATCATTTCTTTGTTTATTATTTCCAAACATAAAATATAAAACTGTAGCTACAGTGACTCCAAGAATTATAGTTACTAAGCCTGCATGCGGCATTTTTTCGATATTGAGAGTTTAAATAATTATAAATTTATAATATAATTATAAATAATTATAAATATTTGAATAAATATTAATAATCAATGAATTAATTCTGAGAATCCCACTCATTTAAATAGTGAAATTAATGCTTGAGTTAATACTTTTAATATAACACAAAAGAAATTCGAGGAAATCACGGAAAAATCCCCGTGACATAAACAATGAAATATTGTCTGCTTCAATTATATCGATCTTCTCTTCAAACGTCTGCATACACCAAATAAAATACTGTATAAGTTCACGCATAATAGTAAACAGGTTGACCAACAGAAATTAACTTATATATAAAACGCAATTATGTATTAAAAATAAATATATTGTGAATTTCTTTTTTATTAAAATTATTATTGATAATTATTTAATGTAATGAAAATGTATTATAATATTAAATTATTTATAACAATATAATTATATTTATCTAATAGGTTAAAAAGTTAAAATTTTATTCAGTGATTTTCTTATTGAAAATGTCTAGAAATATAAAAATATATACAAATCTTATTTATGTACATAAATATGTTATAAAAAATTAAATTCTCAATAAAATCTTAATTCAACTTACATTATAAAACTAGTAAAATGGTAAATAATTAGGATGTCTACTGTCTCTTTTACAAAGATCTTCTACAAAGATTTGCTACAAAGCAATAGATTCAATCTAATTGGATTTTTTGTTTAGAACATATGTTACCAAATTATAATCAATGACTAAGTGAAATTAAAGATATGCTATTATAGATCTTTAAAGAAAATGAAAAAATTTTCATTTAATTTTATATTTTATTAAATTTTAAATATATAATTTTCCATAACTTTTAAATTTATTAATATCATTTCATTAAATCTAATTAAATTTACAATAAATCAAATAATATGTAAATTTTTAATTAATTTAAAAATGTTTTTTCAATTAAAATTTTATTACAAATAAACAAAAGATATTGCAATTTTATTAAAATTGAATATTAATGTATGTAAATGTATATATAAATTACAATAATCTGTTTAATTTATAAACTAAAATATCATTATATTAAAAATATCAAAATAAATTTGCAATCATTTTTTATATAATATATATACCATCAAAGTCAAGAAAATAATTTTTATATTACAACAAATAAAAATATATATCAAATAATCAAATACACAATTTTAATGAATTTTTCGTAACGATTTGAATATTTAATTATTATATTTTTATAAATTTTTATTTTAACATTATTTTTCTTTATTATTTTCAAAAAGATTAGTAACTATACAGGATAGCCTACACAATAAAAATTTTAAACTATAAAATCGAAATTTATATAAAATATTTTAAAATATTTATTAAATGAATAGAAAATTATTATGTTAATTATTAAATTTTAATCATTTCCAAATTCTGTTCAAATAAATCTTTTTGCGCTATTCGCAATTTATTGTATAGGAATTAAATAATAATTGCTCAATAATTTAAAATTGAAATTTTTATATTTATACATATAAGTTATTTGTTTACTAAAAACATTTATATAACATAGCTAACGTGTTCTATTGAGTAATTATTATATAACAATGAAGCTATTTTATTTATAATGAATAAATTTTCATTTCTCAACAGTTATAAAATGATACTATTATAACTATTTACATAATCTATCCTACTTAATCTAAATAAGCAATGAAACTATATTATATTTTTTGTTTTAAAAGATATGAATTAAAGTTTTATATTTAAATTTTAAAATCAATAATTGAATTATTTAGTTAAATTGACAAAAAATAAAATTTTTTTGTGTGCTTTCAAATAATATATATATTGTCTATATGTAAATTTAATAAAATTTAAAAAAACTTAACACAACAATCTAAATAATTTAACATCACTTTATGAATATAGTATGTTTTCCTATATAATTATTAAAAAATATTTATTTGATTGCCAAAAATGTCAGCTATGACGTTTTTTTGTTAATAGTATACTTCAAATTTGGCAATCTAAAGTTGCCGTTGAATGAGGAGGTGATAATGTAACAGGTGTTATCGAAGAAATCGACCGATTAATAGACTGTAATGGTGATGTTTGCTGTTTAATCAACATATGCCGAAGGCATTGCGCTTCTTCACGAAGAGTTATTACTTGTGCCCTTAAAATTGCGTTTTCATGCTCTAATATAGTTGCTCGCAATGCAATCTAGAATAAAATTTTAATTATATAAATTTAATTTTTTTTTTTAAATAATTTATTACATTAAATATTTTATCATAAAATGGAACAATTTTTAAATATTATTATAGTTGTAGTCTAAATATAATTAAATTTCTACTCACATTATCTTCTCTAATTTTCCGAGCATCTCGAGATTTCTTTGCAGCTTGGTTATTACGTTTACGTCTTTCATAATATTTTTCGTCTTTTTGATCATCTGGTATTGGTTTCTTTTCGCTTCTAGGTCGTTTATGAATATTTGTGATGTTATTCGCACTCAAAAAATGACGACTTACCATGTTACCTGTTTTATTGAGATATATTTCATTAATCATGACTTTTGAAATTGATATATTCATTAAAATAAGAATAATATTAAATATTTAACAACTAATAAATCTATTAAAAAGATAATTATAAAAAACAAATTTGCCCCGGGTGAGGATCGAACTCACGACCTTAAGATTATGAGACTTACGCGCTGCCTACTGCGCTACCGAGGCAGTTGATAAGATATTTTGATAATAACATATAAATATTTAATAATTTATAATAATTATATTTTAACATATTTTTTTCACAAATAAAATAATTTTAAAAAGTATCAACTTACCTGTATTACTATTAGAAAACGTCGGAGGCACATTTATAGATTGCATTAAAGGTGGAATTGTAGATAAGAACGGTGGTTGAAGTAAAGATCCTGGAAGTGAAAATGTTGATAAAGATGAGGGTGTTAATGGCGATGATGTCCGGCCAATTGCTATATCTGGTGTGTTTGAACTTTCTAAAATGTCGATATTTCCAAAGTTGTAGTCTTTAGAATTATATGGCTCATATCTGCATAAGTCTACAAAAGTAATATAATTTATTATAATTTAAAAAAAATTATAATCTAATAATAAAATGTAAGTATTGCAAACTATAGTAATTTTTAATTTTAATTTAAGAAATATATTTGATAATTTAAAAGAGCATTAAAATTTAATTTATTTAATTCAATTAATTTTAAAAGTATTATTTTTAGTAACAAATTAATATTAACACATATGTAATTTATATAGTCCAAAATATATGGTCCAAATTTTATCTAGTTTAAAAAGACAAAATATCAACAGCCCCTGTGGCCTAATGGATAAGGCATCGGTCTCCTAAACCGGGGATTGTGGGTTCGAGTCCCACCAGGGGTAATAAAACAAATACTTTTTTTCTTTCCATGTCTCTATTATTTTTTTTTATTATTTAATTAATGTTATTTATAAAAGAAAAACGAATTTTATAATTAAATAAAATTGATAAAAATTCAATATCAATACATTTATAGGATTAATTAAAAATAAAAAAAGAAATTTTTTTATTTCATTTTTTATTTTTTTTATAATATTAGTAATAATGATTATTGAATTTATATACAAATTTTAAATAAATAATATTGTGCATTTCTATTAATCATTTTCTTTATTATTAATTAGTTAGCAAATTATAACAAATTTTATAAATATTATTTTTATTGAAATAAATTTTTATTTTCTTGTAATTATTTTTTTCATTATATCAATGATATAAATAATATATTTAAAAAAATATTCTACAAAAAAAAAGAAAAATTAAAATATAAGAATAAATCATGAATTAAATAAAACTGATTGAAAAAAATAATTTATTAAATTAATTAAATAATAAATAAGTAAGAACTAGAATAAATAAGAATTAAATATTGAAGAAAGAAAAAAAAATAAAACCTCTACCGTGACAATGTGTCTTGGCACATTGCCGTGACCAGGATTCGAACCTGGGTTACTACGGCCACAACGTAGGGTCCTAACCACTAGACGATCACGGCTATCTGAGGAGTTGTGAATCAATTCGAAATTGCATAAGATCATATTTCATATTCTTATTTCATATTTCATAAGTTCATATTATAAATATGATATATATTCCTATATATATTAATTATTATTAAGTGCTTTGAAATAAAATTCCAACTGAAAAAAATATAATATAATAAACATATTATGGAATTTTTATATAAAAATTTAGATAAATTTAATGAATATACATATTTTGTTAATTACAAACTAGAAAGAGTACTAACAAATAAAAAATAAATAATTTTATTAACAAGAAGAGTTTTCATTTTAAGTTTTCATATAAATTATCACAAAAAGTGAAAATATATTTTTAATTCGTCAAAAATAATTTAATTTTACACAAACAAAGTATAAATTAAAGATATAAATTAAATCTATTAAAAATTTGAAAAAAATACCTGAGGTCGGCGTGAATAGACTATAACTTTTTAAGAAATGTAATGCAGAAACCGCACTTGTCACTGCGCTTCCGCTACAGATTGTTCTTGCATGCGCGTGGGAGCTCATTCCTTTAAAAGAAATAGTTTCAAACTCCATAAACACTAAAAGAACTATGTGCAACACTTTTTAATATGGTCATTCATTTTCTCTTCACCAATGTATCAATATAATTATATCTCAATTATTCAATACATTTTAAAAACATTCTATCTAACACTCCAATTTTAATCAATTAAAACATATAATTTATATACTCATGTTCATCGAAAATACTTTTTTTTATCATCCACATGAATTCACAGTTTCTTCTTAATTGTTTGATTTTGATGATTTTCATTCATTATAAAATAAAAAATTACTAATTTCTTTTTCCTAACATTTCACTCTTCTCTAACATTTCATAAATTCATTTTTTTCACATTCACTTTGAATAATAGAATAATATCTAGAAAATTCAAAGATTAAAATCAATAATGATTAAAATTATTATCTCTAAAAATTATTATATAGTTTCTTTGAAAACAATGTCAATTTCCAAAAGAAATTCAATTTCACCGTGATCAAACTTCTTTCGCGTCACGACCTCAACTTCCTGTCGAGCCTGTTGACGTTTCGTATCACGTGTTTTATTACCGTATATCTTTTCACCAAAAGGATGTGCAATTCGTCGCCACCAGGGTGGTTCCGCCTCTCCGTACATGCGCATTGGAGAAACAAACGATTGTTCCGCCCCTGAATCATTAGGGGTGAACAGTTGACTGGTATTTTAAGTGGCCAAGCAAGGCAAAAGCTTGACTCTGATCGGCCAATCCCTGGATGACGGCACAACCGATAATGGTTCAGCCTTACGCTCATATCACGACCTTAATCTTTAGATCTGTTGTTATAATGGACTTTTCTCGTATCTTGCATGATTGAATGATGGAAGATTAACATCAGTGTCGCGTTGAAAGTTGTTACTGACAAACTTTACTGTTTACGAAACACGTTTTTAAACTCTTTTTCCTGTAATTATATTTTTCATTGCGTGACTTGAATTAATATATAGATGAAATTCTTTTCTGTAAAAAAAATGTAAAAAATATTCAATATATGAATAAAAATGTGATAAAAATACATAACAATTATTTCATATCGAAACATAAATACATTAAAAAATTATTCTTGAAATAAAATAGTAACATAAATTAAATTGGTAACATATTTTTGATATATTATTATTATTAAAATAGTTTTATGAATCAATAGATTTACAATCTATTATAAAACAATGATAAATATATAAAGAAAAATTTAATTGAAGTTGTTCCAATGCTTAACCTCAAAATGAAATATAGAATAGAATATATAAAATAATATAAATATATAATAATAAAAAAATTATATAACGTTATGTAATATATATAAATATTGAAAAAAATAATAAATAAATTATATAAAGAAAAAGACAAAAGATAGATATTTATTCATACTTTTTTTAATGTTTATCGATAAATATTTTGTCATTCATACATAGTTTCTTACATAATCCTTAGATATAATTCAACAAGATTTGATAATTATATATCTTCGTAATATTAAATATTTTTTCTTGATTAATTCATATGCAAATAGATTATTTTAAAAGAAATAAACTTAACCTTCAAATTGTTTTTCCAAAACAATTTTGATTTTTTAAAACTTTAAATTTTGATATGTATATGTTATTATAATATTTTCAAATATTATAAATTGTTCTCAATTAACAAATTATTTTACAGTATTCAATTATTTCTATCTTATGTATTCATGTAAGTACATATACATACCGAGGCAATAACACACTATGCTAATACAATAGATAGGATTCGACTACGTTTCTAATGTCTCTGGGACAATTGGCAGCTGACACTTTCATGTTACCTACGAATGTTTAATGCGTCGATAATTATTATGAAGTAAATTACACGACAACGCAGACAATATCAAATGGAGAATTTGCAACATTGATGAATCCGACTCAGAACTTAAAATTGTTACTATTCAACCTCATCAATGTTGCAATCCCATCATGAATAGCAATTAATGGTCAAAAGATCGATTGTTTTCCGCAGGAATTAACCGTACAGGTCCTTTGACCTTCGCGTGTCTGTATTTATTATAGTACATAATCGATTTAGAACGATCAAAAAATATTATTAATAATAAGTTCATCATCAAATAATTCCTAATTATTTATCAATCAATATAAATATTAAGTAATAATTTTTAACACAAAAGATTCAAGAAATATTAATGCAAGAATAATTAATAAAAAGATTGAATTTTTTGATAATTAATTTTTTCTGAAAAAAGAAAGAGCATAAAAAAATGTCTATTTTCTATCCACCAAATTATTAGTTTTTTAAATAATAAATAATGATTTAATTCTACAAGTTTTTTTCAAGTTTTCAGCCTTCATCTTCTTTTTTTGACTTCTTTCTTTGACTATAAATAAAAATACTAATATAATTGCACAAAAGAAGATTGAAGGTGCGACGGTGATTTACGAGATAGCGTGTCGTTTTCGTTTTCGCGAAAAAAGGGGACGAGCAGGGTGGATTATATTGCCTGTTCAAATTTAACTCGGGAGGCGCACCGCGGGTTAAATAACGCCATTTGTTATCGTAATATCTAATTTAGCGTTGAAGGGTGATGCGCCTATTGCCATGTGGCCGTAATCTCACGAAGCCTCAATACAGGTGTCTTAGGAACAACAATTTAGTTTCAACATTTCACAAGTTTGCCAGGTGTACCTAAGAAACAAAATGAATCATTTTCACCCACTTTTAGACTATTATTCAACTATTATTTCTATTGATTTTACCATTCAATCTACATAATTTCTTTAATTACTATATATTTAATATTTTTAAAGGATTATACACACACAAACACACACATATATGTATGTGTATTATTGAGATCTTTTTTTATGAAAAAGTTATTTTCAGTTATATTTTCTATTTTTATTAAAAATGTATTTTGGATTGACCATGTCCGCTAAATTTATCGAAGAAATTAAATTGATTTCAATTTAAGAAGAAGTATTATACGTTAAATTTATTTACAACAGAGTAAAAACTTTATTATTTTCTCTTCAAAATTCAAAATCTTCAAATTATTATTTCAAAAATATATATATATTTTTAAAGATCTTATTTTTTAAACATATCTCATAGAATTGAAGATATTGAATTAAGTACAACTAAACTTATTAAGAAATAATCGTATATAGATTAAATTTTCCAAGAGAAGAATATTCCATCACCATGTTCTTCAAAATTTAATCTCTTGTTATTTTTATATAATCAACGAAGAAACTATGATTTTATAAAAATTTACTGTTACCATAATCATCATTTTATAAAAATTTACTGTTACCATAATGGTATCGATAAAAATGATTGTTCATCAAGCCATTTTCCCGGAGAAACAAAAATAATCAACGAGATCTGTCCTGACATGAACTCCGTTCTCTGTCGACCGCTCGTTATCATTATGCCGCTCGGATTCGCGATAGCGAACGCCCACGCGCCTCTTGCTTGCTTGGTCTCTTGCTCGTGCGAACTCAAACACCTGTCCGCGACCAACGAGTAACGTGACATCACGTCATGTGACCTCCTGAGCGCCCCTTAAGTTTCCCATGACACCGCATGACCTCCAGCTAATCCGCGTAATCGCCTGGAAACGACAGATTACACATTTCGACCATATCTTCCTGCCACCATTACATTTCTCTCATTTCTCACGTCCTCTTACTTCTTTTGAAGTATTGAAGTGTTTCCGCTTTCAAACATATTTTTCCTTAATTTCTTTACATCTTCTTCTTCGAAAGAATTTTTTAAGAAAGTTGTTAAGCCATAAAGCATAAAATATGATTAGTATGGTGTTGTGGAATGTAGAACAAACTCGATCGCGTAATTGTGAAGAGAGAGTATGATATATGAAATGTATTTTTGATTTTTAACGAGATTGTGAAACTTTTATTTATAGTATTGATAGATAGAAATTTTATATTGCTTAGGTAAATTAAATGTTTAAATCATTGAAAAAAAGTTAATAGTTTTATGACGATTTATATATAAAGAGAATAATATAGACTGCTATGATTGGTCAAGATACTAAATTATGCTAAATTATACCTAGTTACATGACGTTGCTGACATCATGTAACTTTCATATCGAAAGTTTTTGTTATTAAAAGAAGAGAAAGATTTAAAGATATTGTTACTTCAAAATGAAAAAGAGAAATTCTTGAAAAAGCTAGCTATGAAATGAGAAACATCTGATGAGGAACAGCATAACACTTACTTCAGAATTTTATAATTATTTTATAATGCATATATTTGAATCATTTTGAATATTTTTTTATAAAAAAAAGAAATAAAGAATAAAATCAATATGATTTTAGCAAATTATAAACTTTATCTAAAATCATCTCATAAAATCCAAAGTGTAATAAAATGTAATGTAGTACATGACATTTGTATACAAATGTTGTTACATATGTATATAATAATTAATAAAAAATTATATGAAATCAATTCAATACTTTTATCAATTAAAACTTAATTATTAAAGGAAATTGAACAGATCATAAATCTTCATATTCAGAATTCAAAATATAAATGACTCAAATGAAGAAGCTTCAACAAGTATTTTTCATCGTTTTTCCCGAACAAAATTCTCTGTGTTCTTAGGTGATGAATACGAAGCAAGGATCACGCACAATTTCGTGTGTCGTACACTTAGAAGCGACATCATGGCGAATGGGTCGCGTGTCTAACCCTTAATTTCATCCACCGTTTACCATCTTCGCTTAGAAGGCACCGATTCCTCTTTCACCCTCGCACACCAGTCATGTAGTATTCGTGACGCTCGTTGTTTCCAGAGGAAAGTTATCTCATCAAGTCGTCACGAGGACGCCCCTCTTTGTTCGCAAAAGACGCGATTAAACTTTTCTTTGCTCGATTCACCACTGGTTCCATGCTCTGCGTTCCTTCTAGTACGTGTTTCGTGTCAGGTGTGTGCCGATTAGCAGGCTTCCGTTTTCATTTACTTCGTTTACGCTTCCTTTGTGCGGGAAGTATTCGCCTGCGATGAAAGATTAACGTGGCAGCTTTTGCTCTTCTTCCTTTCGGTTATTCTGATTTCTATTTTTTTCTTTTTCTTTTTAAAGCAACGTGGATTTAGTATTCTGCCTACTATTTTGTGAACCAAAATGCAAGATTTGTAAATATATAGAAAAAAGATATTAGAAAACTAAACTTTTTATATCAAAATAGTTTTAGGAACTTTGAAAATTTTTTTCATAAAAAATTTTATCATAATATTATGATATTATACGTAGTTGTAATGATTACAAAAAATGAAATTATTACAGATATGATTTTATGATTTATGAATGTAGTAATTTCATG